CCTAGCCAGAGCCTACACATGGATGAGGAGCATGTGCTGTCACAAGTGATGGCACTGGTGCCTGAGTAACTAAGCGCTAAGCACCAGCATTGCCCCAGAATGAAGAAGAAGTGGAGTGAGTTACACGAGCCATTCTACTTTCATGACCCAAGATCTCTTTACTCCAGACAACAAATGAATTGGGTAGTGAAAGAAAAGTGAGTATATGAAGGATGGGGGCTGGACATTAAAGTGAACCAGTTTCTTTGCTTTTTGAGGGCAAAGCCCCAGTTTGCCTTAACAGCCTTGAACTGCATGTTGTATCAGCTACCCGTGATACAATCAGTTTTGGAATGTTCTAATTTTACAATTTGTTGTATTTTAATAGCAGTGCAGTGATTATATGGTGATATGGTACGCCTTTTAGAATTGTTCTTGTGTAGTCAGATTGCATATGCATAAGTTACCTAGTGATAGTCAACAAGACTGAAAAATGAAACTAATGTCGATCTAGGTGAACCTCTCATACAACCTACAGCTATGGTCCATAGGAAGGCAAAGCATTACCCTTCATGAATGTTTGCTTTTTCAACTTGGGATGAGATGCCAAGTTTCTTAATGTATCATAATGTCTTAGGAGCCTCAGCAGTATAAGGAATTTGGCACAGCTACAACTGTATGGAGGAGAGACTGCAGATATAATTTATTATTCATATGTTCTGAATCAATAATACTCTTTAATCTGTATATTTGCTCCAGGTGAATCACTCAAAGTACTAAGGATGTTGAAGTAACATGACAGCAAGAAATGTAGGATTTGCAAAAGGGCGCTAGCAAGTTGCTTGCTTTGGTTTGGTTGCAGGTTGCTTTGAAGGCTAATTAGAAGCTTTCTGCATAGATCTTTGATGAAACATACTATGAGGGCTTAGGGATGAGTACTTATGTAATAATGAGTACCTGGGTTCAGTTACCTCCATGTAAACTCTTCAAGGTATGTGTATATTCTCCATACATTTTAAGGGATTGCAAAATCATAGTGATAGTTTAGTTGCTTTGCATCCAAAAGTGTCCCTAGAGTGTGTGTCTTTATGACTTTGTCTGGGAAATTAGGTTTTATGGCAGCTTATAAGCATGTACTTTTAAAAACAGGCCAGAAAAGAGCTCATACTATGAACTTCTATCTTTACTGTGTCCGAGAATTCCTGAATGATTAATTCAGTCAGCTAAATAGATCGAATCACAGTGCCTCCAAAATAAAAGTATATGTTATAAAAAATAATTTAACTGACGTAAATATTTTGAGTTAATTTTGCCAAGCAAAATTCTTTAAGAATGCAAACAAGATCAGTGCAAGTATAGTTTGCAGATTATCAAAAATAAATTAATAATGATTACAATAAGTCAGTTACAAACACCACTAATAGTTTGATTAATAGGCGAAAACAAACACTACAATTTTGCAACGATGTTTGAACATTAATGGTTTACCATAAAATATATACTGATGACACAATAATGATTTTCCCATACTGTAGGTATTCTAACTGATCGGATAACATTTGGCAGAAAATAATCAGCATTGGACTAACTCGACCTGTGAACCTACAGCAGTCGAATCACTGGGTGAAGTTAGTCTAAAGTTGTGCCAATAAGGCAACTAAAATGACCACATTTGTGGGTGTTAAGATATCAGGTGAGGTAGCAAATCTACTTGCATACAAAGAAATATTAATAATGAAATATGGAAAATATAGTTTCCCTTTTAAAATGGCTATTTGTTTTAAAAATGGTCATCTCCAGACTCTCTTAATATGGCTGTTGATTACTGGTTGTAGTTTACTTCCCAAAATGGTGTCTAGCTATGCTGGAGCTGTGGGCCCGATGAGGTGTCAGATCTAAATGGGGTGATCCTTCAGATGTGTGTTCAGATTATGATCCCTTTGTGAGTGTTCCTTCCTGTTTTATCCAGTTGTGAATAATACATTCATGGCCCAGAAGGTGTAACCTTATTCCTGTTGAGGGATCTGGTTGATTAACCCATGTTTACTCAAGCATTACCTCCTTTGGCCACTGGCACCCTCAGATGAGAAATTATTATTTTGAGTTTTATTGGAAAATCCCTGGTGATTAACCCTCATATAATAAATTCATACACAGCCACGATATCAGTTTCTCTGAAATATGTAGAATGCCTTGGAGAGTCTGGGGCAGTGGCAATTGAATGGGAAATTTTAAGATAGAATTTCATATACAATGATTCAAATATTAGTTGTACACATACAGATCAAAGAAGAACAGAAATAATTTGTATGCGAAATGACTTATTGATTATTGATACCCTGTAACACATATGTTTCTAACAATGGGGATTACACATAAACAACAAATATATTAACATTCAAAAGTCCTTTTTTCCAGGAATGGGATATTGTGTCAGGATAAAACCTTTTTATATACAATCAACATAGATAATAGACATGTGCAAAATTAAAAAATGTGTTGTTTCATTTCGATTCGTTTTTTGGAATTCGTTTCGTTTATTAAAATTTGACCAAAATCAAAATTTCGAACGGATTCGATAATAATTCTCACATTACAATCCATAATCCACAATCCATATATGTTTTTGATGGTATATGGGCTATATGACCATAATGGAAATTTCTATTTCACAGTGCCTTTGTAGATCACTACTCACGTCACCATAGCGCAACTCACAATTTTTTGTAAAGTATTTTAGTCTTTTCTAATCTATTCTATTCTTTTCTATAATTTTATATTCTATGCTAATTTATTCTGTTCAAATTCATTCTATTAAAAATTTGAATTTCGTAAGACAGTTATATGCTTTCTATTCTATTGTTTTTCTATACCATACTATTCTATTCTATGATTCTCTATTGTAAACTTGTCTATTCTTTTCTCTTCTGTTCTTTTATATTTGTCTGAATTTTTCGGAACAAAACTAACTGCACATGTCTAATAGATAAGAACTGGCATATTATATACTGTAAATGCTTTGAGCTAGAGAGGGAGTGAGAGGAGTCTCATCCTGTGTTTGTCTTTCTCAGCGCTGAGACAATGGTAAGTGCTGGTCACACAAGCTGTTAATTGTTTCATCCACAAGCATTACAATGCACTGGACCTGCCCTGTTTGAAATCTGATTAAAATGTTAATAGGACCATGTCTCTGGCCTGGTAAGAAAACTGTTATAATCAAAAATTAAAATGACAAAAATATATATAAACTTCTTTTCATAAAAGTTCTGACAACTGATTGCCTTTAACCCCTTCTCACCAGCGCCTCCCGGCCCTTTAAGGGTTTCTGAAGCCAGGAGGCGGGGTTTAGGGTCATGTGTCCGCCATGACACGCCATCATGGTGGTCACATGATCGGGAAAGGTCCCGATCGAAAGAGGAGATCGGGACCTTTCTGTGAGTACCGGACATGTGTGCTGGGAGCACGCAGGGCACGCTCTCTCAGCACATATGTTCTTTTTTAATAGAACGCAAATGTGTGGCCGCTCGGCGTCTAGGCCCAGAGGCCGGGAGGCCACACATTTGCGTTTGGCCGGCGTGAAGAGGTTAAGAACCATTACAGACAGAACATGAATAATGAATATGTTCTCTGTAAAGCATTGCAGAAAATAATAGTACAAATAAATAGTTCTGGTTGTTGAAGTACAGTGTTTATGTATTTTGTGCACAACTACATCAGTATTCAGTAGCGATATATTCTTCAACCAGTAGATGGCAGTGTTTATAGGTTTGTAGCTAAATCTATGGTAAACTCTATGTACTTTTCTTTGAATAAAGTTTCTTGTTTCCTTGTTGCAGTGAAGCAGATAAAACACACTGGACTGTGCATGGTGTTCTATAGGGCTATATACAGAATTTCTAACACTGGTCATCCATACACAGTGGTAAGGCCTTTCAAGCAATGTGTCCCACAATTCACTAAAGGGTTTGCATACTGGTTTCTTTTAGTACTTTTTTTTAAAAAGGTCCTATACCCAAGTCAAAAGGCACAAGGTTCTGAGTCATTACTGAATCCTGTATTAACTCTATGGTTACTGAATGTATGAGCAGGGGATATGAGTGATAACTGACATTATTCTGTTACTAGCAAAAGAGTTAGAAGAGTGTACTTGTGTAATGACATAAAAGAAACTGTTATGTTGCTCTCCATACCTGGTTGATTGAATGCTAGCAGCCAAGTTTCTCATACAGCACGTACCTTCAGAGAAGTGTCTGGAAGTATGTGCAATAAAGCATTTGCTGTGTGGAGGAGTAAAGAAAGGCGCATGCAATGTACTCAGATATTATATGAAAAGGATATCCCTGGTATCTAGTTAGATATTTACTGTATAACCTTTCCACCCTTATAGAGCAAACATGAGCTAGTCTGGGGAGAAAGCACTTTAAAAAAAAGGATAACAGGGATGCTTTCTTTGATATAATTCTGTTTACAAAAAAAACCTATTGTCCGGAGTTAACATTATGAGTAAATGAAACTCAAATACATACAGGTAGGTCAGTTGGCTTTTTCCCATAATTGGCACTAGTGTGATAGGGGCAGACTGTGGGCTCCATTGATAGGCAGGGAATAAATGTTCCTTTGTACCCTGTAAAGCTTTGGGTCAGCTCTATGAATGCGGGAACTAAAACAACAGAAGGAAATCTGAACGGCAGGGCCCTTGATGATCATAAGGCAGCTCTAAGAGATAGCAGAAGATAGGAAATGTGAAAAGTTTTATTTATACATTTTTTTGACTTATCTTAAAGTATTACTAAACCCACAACAGTAAAATCAGTCTGTATATGTAGTAAAGCATGCTTGTTATGCTCACTGTGGAACCTAAGGGGTTAATCCTCTGCATTGCGTAAAAAGGCCGTTTGGTTCTCTCTTGTTCAAATGTCCACCTGATGAGACAGACTGAACCGTAGCCATTCTGCACATAATCAGCACAGGGCCAATCAGGGACAATCAGCATAGGGGCAATCAGCACTGTCCAGACAGAGGATCAGGGGTTCTGCATTCTCCTAGAGCAGAAAGAAAACTCCTCCTACAAGCTTTAACCAGTGCTCTGCTGAAGTCACAAGACTGCTCTAACTGCTGATGAGAAAAGGTATTTAGCAGTTTACATTTACTAAAATAATTGCATTTCTATGTTCTGTGTACTGTGGGAGACCAGATATAGTGAAAGCAGGGTCTCGGTTTAGTAAAACTTTAATATATAAGTAGCTAAGGTGTATATAATGACTGACTGAAGCGCGTTCACAAGTGTGCTATTTAAATATGAGACCCCACTGAGCATAAGTGTGTAATTAAGACCATGTCTGGAACAAATACCAGTGGTACCACTCAAGTTGGTAAGGGTGCTATGGTTAAGCAAGGCCCATCTACTCCCCAGAAAAGCACAATACGTCATACTTCCACCAATTCCCTTTTTTCTATCACTCAGTAATCCATCCACCAGACCATTCTCCACCCTGATAGGGACTTTATCATGTAAGTGGAAACTGGTATGGGATGAGGACACTTATACACATACATTTCCCATATTTGCTGCACTTAAAGAGACAAAACACTGATTTTCACATCACGCAACAACAGTAATAACATCCATACAATTTATCATTATGGTCTCTCTTTCTACCTTCCTCCTAAAAAACCAGATACCATATATTTAGTATAGTTATTTATCATAGGTATTTATATAGCGACAAGGTATAAGGTGCTTTACATACTGTACATTCATATCAATACCTACCATCAAGGACTTACAAGGTCCCTATCATACATAAATGCATGCACACACAAACTAGGGCCAGTTTAAACAGGAGACAATTAGAGCCTGGTCATACCAGTGTGATTTCAGGTGTGATTTGAGAATTGAAATCGCACCTGAAATCGCATCTAATAAATGTTAATGTCAGTGTCTTAACATCTGCGATTTGCTGCAGTGCGATTTTAAAGTAGTTCTTCCATTACTGTTTCTGCAGTTTTGTTGAGATTTACATACATAAAATATAATGGAAATCACACTGAAAATTGCAAGAAATCGTTGAAAATCTTCACAAGTAGCAATACAGTCTTCAGAAATTGCGCTGAAATTGCACACAAATCGTGCGATTTTAAATCGCAGTGAGGTGACTGGTGACTTAACCTAAATTTTTGTCTTTGGAGTGTGGAAGGAAACAGGAATAACCAGAGCAAACCTATGCAAGCACAGGGAGAACATGCAAACTTCATGCAGATGGTGTCTTGCCCTGCATGTACAATTAAGATCTAGTTAACATTTAAAAACAATAATAATAAATTATAAATTAGGATTAAAGACAAATACACAAATAGGCAATCACACAAATTATGATGTAGGAAAGGATTGAAGTTAATAAATTAGACAACCATTTCTAATCTAGATAAAAATAAAACATCCATGGATGAAAAAAATTGACTAACAGGAAAAAAAAATAAAAATAAATAAGGGAAAATTTGAAATAGAAAAAAGGAAGCAAAAACACAGAAAAAAAAAAAAACAGGATAAAATAAGTAAAGGTTAAAAAAAAACCTGAAACATGTTATGTACCAGCATCCTTGAAATGCTTTTAAAAGGCTAAAAATAAATAGAATTTTTTATCTCATGATAAAATCCCCTGATGATGATAATTCCCTTTTTTCCCTCTTTCTTGCTCCTATTTCTCTCTTCTTAAGCTATCTACCCTCCCCCCTTCCCCAACATCCTTCCTTTCCATCATTCCGCCATTCCTATCCTCCAACCTTATATCCCCTCTTAGTCCCTTTTTGTCTTCTTGAGCCCTTCCTTCTTATACTCCTGACCACCCCCCTCTCAGAAAGACATGCACATACATTCTACTGTCCACAAATCAGCCAACCCACAAATCATTGAAACTTACCGCACCATAAATCACTGTATTATGCACCACTGTTGCCGTAAACTCAGAGAACAATGTGAATAGTATAAGAATCCATTCTATGGGGCAATTAGTAAAACATTTCTGAGACAAACTTTATCTCAACCTTGTCTCAACTAGAATGCAGACAATCAGCTTTAAAAGCCTTTAGACCAATTTCCTTACTGAACAAGGATGTGAAGATATTAGGAAAAATTCTAAGCTTCTGCATCAACAGGTTCCTGCTCTCCCTGATACAGAGGTAAGCTTTCTACTGGCCACCAAGCAGGTGACAAATTCACTTGAACCACTTATTGAACCACCCCAAGATTCCAGGCTTCCTTCCCTCCCTTGATGTCTACAAAGCCTTTGATTCCCTTTTGTGGGATTACCTACACTATGTCTTTGAGAGATGGGGCTTTGGTTATTCAATCCTGTTGTTGATCTTGGCTTTCTATTCTTCCCCCACAGCCCCTGTTAAATATACTGGCCATCTTTCTGCCCCCTTCTCTATTCATCAAGGCATAAGACAGGGGTGTCCATTATCTCCCATTCTATTTATCTTGGCTCTCGAACACCTGGCAATAACACTCAGGGATAACACCAATATCTCTGGTATTCAATACGTGGGTGTACATTACAAGGTGAACTTATTAGCAGATGATGCACTTCTGACTTCGCAACCTGCAGCACCTTCTTTCATGCTTTTCCAATCTTTCAGTCCTTCGGATTAATCCCCATAAAACAATTACGCTCAGCATCTCCTTACCTCCCTCTATCGTGCCACATCTCCAAACATTCTTCTCATATGATTGAGCCACTTCCTCTCTGGACTATTTAAGAGTCACACTAACCCCCTCATATTCTACTCCTTTCACGACCAATTACTAGCCACTTCTACAACCATTACCTTCTTCAAGCAATAATGGCAGTTACCCTCTCTGATGTAGATTGGCCGCATTCACACGGCTAAAATGACCATCCCCCCTAAAAGTCACCAACTTACCAACTCACCCTTCGTGCCACCACGGATATCCCCTTTTGGGTACTCTTGGAGCTTCCCAATTGTGTACCGATCCCCATGGCAGCTCTTCTGTGGCTCCCCTACAGGCTCTGCCCCTTGTCCCTCAATCCCCTTATGATTCAAAGTTTATGAATCTGGGACTCAGTCCATTATTTGGGCAACCTTATGTACCATTTTCTACCTCTTCTTTCCCTTTTCAATAATCCTTCTTTCCCTTCAGGTCTAGAACAACTGAGAGCATTTTTAAGGTGGTTGTCCTGCAGCTCATACAGGTCCACCACTTCCTCAGCTCTCACACCTCTTCTTTGTGGTCTTCTATTCAGGAGACTTATGAAGCACCACCTACAGAGTTTTTCCGCTAAGTACAATGTCGCCCTCCTTGAAATGCAATTCCATCTTTCCCTTTCATTCCACAGCCTTCGAAATACCTGTTGACACTCTGCTGGTGCTCCAATCACTATTTCCCTAATTTACTCTTCCATGAATGCTATTGACCCTCCTTCTACTTCTTACAAGTCTGGTTGGGAGTGAGATTTGGGAACCTCTATTGACCCTGAGGAATGGAGTAAGGCCTGGTCTTCCTTAACAAAATATTCCTTCAGCACGACCACGCTGGAAGCAGCTTACAAGGTCCTTTTGGAGGTGGTATTGGGTCCCTGTCCATATTCCAGGTTTCAACCCATTCTGCAGTGATAGGTGCTTCAGAGGCTGCAGCCAAAACAGTGATGTGGTTCACATCTGGGGGTCCTGCCCACATCTAACAGGGTTCTGGTCTCAGGTGTTTGGGCTCGTATACACATTATTTCATGTACCTATCCGTAAAGATTCTAAATTAACACTACTGCATTACCCGATTCAGGACCTATTTTAATACTAGCAGAAGCTTGCAACTTATCTGTTTACTGCCGCTAAACATACTATTGCTAGGGCCTGGAAGACACCTTCTGTATCCTTTGCAGTGGTGAAGACCAATCTGACCACCCTGATGATAAACGAAAAGATGTCCAGCATCTTACATGACTCCCATGCTAAATTTCTGAAAGTGTGAGTCCTTTGGTGGTCGTATGCTCTCCCCATCCATACACCCGACCAGCTTGGGCAACGTATGATTGTTGATGCTATCATGCAAGCCTGCAAGAACCCCCAACCCCCATTCCTTCTAGTTCCCCTCTGGAAAACCCCCTCCTTTCCTTAGTTTATTCCATTCCCTCTTTTTTTTTCTCTTTTTCTTGTGACTGGCTAAACCGGTTCACCTTTTTTGTTTTCCCTTGGTATGCACCTAGGCCTTTAGACTTAGGCACTTATGTGGACCAACGGCTCCTACCACGCAGTTGTTCAATAGATAGTGTACTACCAAAATGTTGACTATATGACTTGTTCCTTGGTGTGTACCCCCTATGTCAGTGTTCAGCTGTCTTGTCCTTTTTGCGTGCAACAATAAAAAATTATTGTATCAGAAAATTTTTATTTTCTAAGCTGTGTGGAAAAAATTAACGCTAAAAGCTATTTGGTTGGCAAAAGCACCAGAACGTGTCTCAGACACTTTATTAATTCCTCCTTTGAGTTAAGATTGTCTATAATACCTTTAATATGTTTCTTGTCTATGGTGACTTCTATACTTCAGTAATATTTTAGTAAAAGAATAATTAAAAAACAGCATTTGTTGGATTCATAGGCGTGTGTGTTGGGAACACATGGATTGTGCACTGCCTATTATGGTGAATAAAGTATACACAGGTAAGTTGGCTAATACTGTACAAGTATTTGTTAAAAAAGCGTCTACAAAGACAACACCCTTACATCTGACACAACAATTTCCATTTACGAATAACACGTTATAACACTTTACCTTTTTCTTCATGAGAGAAAAAATGTAAAAGGCTTGCAAGTGTTTCATCTGTAGCATAATGTTCCCAAAAAAAAGAGAAGTGTGGGAAGAACCAGCTGACAGAGTACGCAGATAAAACCTGATGATTATGTTTTATGAACAGGACATTATGGTGAACTTCCTTTTGTTTTCCCCTATTAGGTCGATACTCAGAGCGTGTTGTAAGAGGATGTTAACCCTTCTTGCTTTACAAAATAAAAAAAGCAAGGAAGTGAGAAATTAGTTCACAATTCCCTATTCTCTCCATTGTGGTTAGGAATGGCGAAGATAAGAGTCACATGACAAGCATGACAAAAATTTTAATCCATATTGTCAGCATTACCATATTTAAAAAAAAATTACATTGCATATTAATTCAATTTCTTCAGCTGATTAAAACACAATTATT